GGCAGTTATTTTCTCCTTTGAATACTGCCCACCTGCAATAATGATTCCGTAACGTACTCCTTGCGCTATCTTTTAACCATTTGGCAACTTTTCGTTTCGTAGCTGACACGGTACAACACTTTTCTTTCGCTTACTTCACACGGCCAGTCATTTTGTTTACAAAGAAATGGTGTGCTATGCGCATGCGCTAGTAGAGGGAAATCCCTGAACAAAACGTTGGTCAGACAGGTAGAAATACCGATGATTTTCTTAGATTTAATCATTTTTATGAATCTATTTCAGCCAAATCCGATCGTTAATTTCCATAAGGAGTCTCACTTGATATGTTTATGTAATATTTGAAAAAAAGACAAACATTAAAGTTACTTCACCGTGATGCCCCTTTAAATGGGTGTTTTTTTTAAACATTAAAATAATGAAAAAATCTACCAGGGTATCTTATCTGTTTCATGAACAGATTCAAAAGTAAAGCAAAACAACAATTAAAACACTACAGAAATGTTATTATTTCTCAGCACAATGATCTGACTTTGTTGATACCTAACTGGTGAAGGGAGATAACCCTTATTGTGTTTTAATACATTACAGTGCACATGCTGAGTCGGACATTACAGTGTACCAGTATATCAGAGGGCGGAGGGTTTGACTACGACCAGAACTGGATATGCGCCATGTAAGACTAAGTCGCTTTATTTTGTATGTATAGGATTGATCAGTGTGAAGAAGTTGATCTATATATTATATACTGACAAGATGTACACTATAGTAAAATTCAGTTTGTGACAAAGTAATTATGAACTATTCCATTGCATGTCTCAAAATTAGTTTATCCCATAATCATTGCACGAAGATAAATGTCATTGTCCCAGATAGAAAGGTACAGCTTTAAATCACTAATATTCTCTTCCTACGGGACTGTGTTTGAGATGTTAGCATTGTACCTCTGTATTAGTATTTTGACATATTAATTCAACAGGGCTAGTGTGCCGTCCATTCTGACACGTCACGTGGGCATCGCAAGGCTCCGCACCGCAGCTAATCTGGGCACCAGTAGTCAGGAGGTGTACTTTATAATAGTAGTCCTCACTCCTATAAAAGAGGTACGTACAACACGCCCTAACCCCAACATTCACATCAATACTACCTACCCACTGGTACTAAAAAACAGGTAGGTACAACACGCCCTAACCCTTTACATTCACATCAATACTACCTACCCACTGGTACTACAAAAGAGGTAGGTACAACACGCCCTAACCCCGACATTTACATCAATACTATCTACCCACTGGTACTACAAAAGAGGTAGGTACAACACGCCCTAACCCCAACATTCCCATCAATACTACCTACCCACTGGTACTACAAAAGAGGGAGGTACAACACGCCCTAACCCCGACATTTACATCAATACTATCCACCCACTGGTACTACAAAAGAGGTAGGTACAGCACGCCCTACCCCAACATTCACATCAATACTACCTACCCACTGGTACTGCAAAACAGGTAGGTACAACACGCCCTAACCCTAACATTCACATCAATACTACCTACCCACTGGCACTACAAAAGAGGTAGGTACAACACGCCCTACCCCCAACATTCACATCAATACTACTTACCCACTGGTATTACAAAAGAGGTAGGTACAACACGCCCTAACCCAAACATTCACATCAATACTACCTACCCACTGGAATTACAAAACAGGTAGGTACAACACATCCTATCCCTTAACATTCACATCAATACTACCTACCCACTGGTACTGCAAAACAGGTAGGTACAACACGCCCTAACCCCAACATTCACATCAATACTACCTACCCACTGGTATTACAAAACAGGTAGGTACAACACATCCTAACCCTTAACATTCACATCAATACTACCTACCCACTGGTACTACAAAACAGGAAGGTACAACACGCCCAAACCCCAAACCCCAAACATCTACTTGATAACTACCTACCCACTGGTATTACAAAAGAGGTCCGTACAACAGGCCCTAACCCTTAACATTTACATCAATACTACCTACCCACTGGTACTACTTGTAAGGTAGGTACAACACGCCCAAACCCCAAACCCCAAACATCTACTTGATAACTACCTACCCACTGGTATTACAAAAGAGGTCCGTACAACAGGCCCTTACCCTTAACATTTACATCATTATTTCTTCATCACTGGTACTACCGGAGGAGAGGTTCACCCTCCTTTTGTTTTTATGTTGTGTACCTGTCTGTGCTCCACGTTGAAATGATAGAATGTTGCATACTGATATTGGGTATCTTGCCCCTCCAGAGTGATGGCATTTGGTTTACTGCGGGTCACTTTGTCCAGGGCGCATCTCATTACTTTTGTTACTTACAATTGCCATTTTGTTATGTAAGTATTCCTTGGGATGGCAGAGTGTCTTGCACTATAATTGGTTCTTGTGCCTTAGTATTTACAGAGCTTTGACCATTTATTCATTTTTTTAACGCCACAGATTGTCCAGGGGAGGGGGACTATTAATGGCTTACAGCTAATTATGCCTAGTTCACTAATAAGCTGTATTAATTAAGTGTTCTGTACTTTTGTATCTAACTCAATTTCATGGTTTTGATGGGTGAAAATTCAGGTTTTAAATTAACTTATCAGGGAGTGTAAAGAAACATGTTGGCTTGTATGATAAGGCTACCACTGTCTCAATGTATGAACATATTGCCCAAAGTCTAGATCGGCATTTTATTCTTGAATTTTGATTATTACAGAAAGGAACTAAGAATGAGTTAGAGACTGGACGAACATTTTCCACAATTTTCTCGGATCTTGATTTTCGTCTGAATCTACTTGCTGCAACCACTGAAGATGAGTTCAAGTCGATCCTAGAACAGCACACCAAGGAGCTGGCTGACCGTCAGATGAGTCTGACCAACAAAGTTACTTTGTACGACACTGATAGTAGCAAGGTACACCTTTACTGTCGCCACATCCCTCCTAAACCTGGAGGCGGGCAGCTGTAGGGATACGCCGTCGATTAGATAACCTTGTTTAATAGGAGCCTTCGTCAATATGATATCTCAAGGCCTAGATCCAAATAATTTTTCTATTTTGTAAAAAAAAGAAGACATTCTGGTTGTAAAATTATAGATTATACAATGTTTCCCGTAAGAAACAAAAAGATGGAGTAGCCCACCTGTATGAAATCTTATGTCTGAATGGTCCCCAGCTCCTGATAAGATGGGACTTTCTCCTTGTTCTCTCTCTCTTCATAAACAGTGATTGCTGGTCAATCATATTGCCAGTTTGACCAGGATAAATTGTTTAAATGCTGATAAGTCATATATTACAGACTTGTGTGAAAGTATTTACTATCCTCTTTTTCATACCTAGACCTAGGTTCAATACATAAACACATATAATTTTTAATATTACAAATGAAAACCATATTTTGTCTTTCTATGGCGTTTCAGGGAGGTTGCAAGTGTGGTATTTTCAAGGGTATACGGGACGATCTGCGTCGACGCTTCCCTCACTACATATCTGATTACAAAGATGGTACGTTACTATTCAGAATCTAAAATAATGTAAATTTGTGTTCATTAATTGTTAATTTGATGAGGACGAACAGTCAGCATCAGATGTCATCATGTTTACCCTGATGAACTTAAATCATTTGAGAACCTTTTAGTTGATGAAACATGTGCTTCAAATTATGTGTAAAATTACTGTAAATGCCATCCTGCTGTCTTCCAGGGATCTTTGGACCAAAGACAATTCAGAAGACTTTATCTACAACACTGTTCCTCTACTTCGCCTGTCTCATGCCCTCCATTGCCTTTGGGGTCCTCAACGCAGAAAACACAGATAATGTGCTAAGTATGTCAAAGTTGTTTATTTTCTTTAAGTAACACATGTAAATGTAATAAACACTTAATCCAAATATTCACTGTAAAGTCAATTATCCTTATCAACAACTATTACTGACCTGTACATGTCTTACTCCTTTACAATAATTTATCAATGCCTCTAATATTAGAGCTGATTATGATCAGATGAAAAAAGAATTCAGAGTGTTAAATTTTTATTTTTATTTTTTTGGTACTTGGAGATGGATTCATTTAAAAGTTGTAATTGGGAACACTGGCTTAAAGCTATTTTACATATTCCCAGTTAAGTCACTTTTTAACATAAAATTTTAACAAAGTATTATCAATTATACTACGGTGTTGCTGTAATTAATATGTGCTTAGGGATAGCCTCACAGGAGTTGTAAGTTGTCAATGATAATAGGATTACTGTTGTGTTGCTAGTAATCGATGATGATAGGGTTACCGTTGTGTTGTAAGTTGTCAGTAATGATATGTTGACTGCTGTGTTGTAAGTTGTCAATGTTCATAGGATTACCGTTGTCTTGTAAGTTGTCAATGTTCATAGGGTTACCGTTGTGTTGTAAGTTGTCAACGATGATATGTTGACTGCTGTGTTGTAAGTTGTCAATAATGACAGGGTTACTGTTGTGTTGTAAATTGTCAAGGCTGGTATGATGATTGCTGTGTTGTAAGTTGTCAATGTTCATAGGACTACTGTTGTGTTGTAAGTTGTCAATAATGATAGGGTTAATGTTGTGTTGTAAATTGTCAAGGATGGTATGTTGATTGCTGTGTTGTAAGTTGTAAATAATGATAGGGTTACCGTTGTGTTGTAAGTTGTCAGTAATGATACGTTGACTGCTGTGTTGTAAGTTGTCAATGTTTATAGGATTACAGTTGTGTTGTAAGTTGTCAATAATGATGGGTTTACTGCTGTGTTGTAAGTTGTCAATAATGATAGGGTTAATGTTGTGTTGTAAATTGTCAAGGATGGTATGTTGATTGCTGTGTTGTAAGTTGTCAATGTTCATAGGACTACTGTTGTGTTGTAAGTTGTCAATAATGATAGGGTTACTGTTGTGTTGTAAATTGTCAAGGATGTTATGTTGATTGCTGTGTTGTAAGTTGTCAATGTTCATAGGATTACCGTTGTCTTGTAAGTTGTCAATGTTCATAGGGTTACCGTTGTGTTGTAAGTTGTCAACGATGATATGTTGACTGCTGTGTTGTAAGTTGTCAATAATGATAGGGTTAATGTTGTGTTGTAAATTGTCAAGGATGGTATGTTGATTGCTGTGTTGTAAGTTGTAAATAATGATAGGGTTACCGTTGTGTTGTAAGTTGTCAACGATGATAGGTTGACTGCTGTGTTGTAAGTTGTCAATGTTTATAGGATTACAGTTGTGTTGTAAGTTGTCAATAATGATGGGTTTACTGCTGTGTTGTAAGTTGTCAATAATGATAGGGTTACTGTTGTGTTGTAAGTTGTCAATAATGATAGGGTTACCATTGTGTTGTAAGTTGTCAATGATGATAGGTTTACTGCTGTGTTGTAAGTTGTCAGTCTTTATAGGATTACCATTGTGTTGTAAGTTGTCAATAATGATATGGTTACAGTTGTGTTGTAAGTTGTCAATGGTGATAGGTTGACTGCTGTGTTGTAAGTTGTCAGTCTTTATAGGATTACTGTTGTGTTGTAAGTTGTCAATAATGATATGGTTTCAGTTGTGTTGTAAGTTGTCAATATTTATAGGATTACCATTGTGTTGTAAGTTGTTTATAATGATAGGGTTACTGTTGTGTTGTAAGTTGTCAATTTAAGTTGTCAAGGATTGCTGCTGTGTTAGTTGTCACTGTTGATAACTGTTGTGTTGTTAGTTGTCACTGTTGATAACTGCTGTTGTTAGTTGTTACTGATGATAATGATTACTGCTGTGTTGTAAGTTGTCAATATTTATAGGATTGCTGCTGTGATAGTTGTCACTGTTGATAACTGTTGTGTTGTTAGTTGTCACTGATGATAACTGTTGTGTTGTTAGTTGTCACTGTTGATAACTGTTGTGTTGTAAGTTGTCACTGTTGATACATGTTGTGTTGTTAATTGTCACTGTTGATAACTGTTGTGTTGTTAGTTGTCACTGATGATAACTGTTTTGTTGTTAGTTGTCACTGTTGATATCTGTTGTGTTGTAAGTTGTCACTGTTGATACATGTTGTGTTGTTAATTCTCACTGTTGATAACTGTTGTGATGTTAGTTGTCACTGATGATAACTGTTGTGTTGTTAGTTGTCACTGATGATATGATTACTGCTGTGATGTTAGGTGTTACTGATATGATTACTGCTGTGATGTTAGTTGTCACTGATGATAACTGTTGTGTTGTTAGTTGTCACTGATGATATGATTACTGCTGTGTTGTAAATTGTCACTGATGATATGATTACTGCTGTGTTGTAAATTGTTACTGTTGATATGATTACTGCTGTGTTGTTAGTTGTCACTGATGATATGATTACTGCTGTGTTGTAGCGGTGGAGAAGGTTCTGTACTCACAGACGTTTGGTGGCCTGGTGTTTGCTGTGTTTGGAGGGACGCCACTCATTGTCTTACTCACCACAGCACCCCTCGCTCTCTACACAAAGAGTAAGTATGCTACACAGTACAAGTTACTCCTCGGAGGTATGGTGGGGAACTGTATGTTTGCACTCAGACCCTCCATACTCTATCCCAGTAGCATGTTTAGTGCATGTTTCTGAAACCATTTCACCTTGAATTGCTATTTTTTTTACACAGATACACCTTGCTAAGAGGGAGTGTCATATTTCAAAAATAGGTAACTGTGACATCTGTTTTGATCTCTGTCCTCTATCATTAATTGTCCAAGCCATATAATCCTATACAATTTAACCAATTTAGCATGCTTGTACATATTGTTATGGCACATGTACAGTGTCATGTACTAAAATAATAATGATAATAATAATATACAACATTTGATATAGCACCCTATTCTAGCTAGAATAAGCCACTCTAAAATGCTTTACAGTACATAGATATACAATTTATAAAATCAGTGCAATCAGCATATACATTAATCAAAATGATTTTGAGGAATTCGCAGAAACTGCCTTATCAGGTGCTAGCTACTAGTCGTATGCCACCTGGCTAATATCTCCCTACATGTATGTGTGTATGCCTGCATGTGTCCCAGAGATGTATTGTGATCTTTTGTAGCAGGACCATGCTTCCAACGGTATCTTTTATAGTGCCACTTGCATGCTACATCACAGATACCGCAACATCCACTGAAGACCAATTTATACTCCACCTGGAGTAGTTCACTTTCACCTGTATTTTAACTGTTGAACATGACCCCAAAGATATCACTTCTGCTACCTGGCAGAACAGATACTATCTGCGACCTGGGATATGGATACTTTCTTTTTCTGTGATGATTATTACTGTTTTTATTAGCTCACCTGGTCCGAAGGACCATGGTGACCTTATGCCATACCGCAGCGTCCGTCGTCCGTCCGTCCATCAACTTTTCCTTTAAAACGCTACAAGTCATGAACGACTGAGCAGATTTTGACCAAATTTGGTCAACAGCATCCTTGGGGGAAGGAGAACAAATGTTGTATAAATGGTGGGTCTGGCCCCCCTGGGGGTTGAAGAGTGGGGCCCAATAGGGGAAATATAGCAAACTCTTTAAAATCCTTCTTCTTCTTCTGAAGGAATGAAAGGATTTTTTCCATATTTGGTCTGAAGCATTCTTGGGTGAGGAGGAACCAATTTTGTATAAACCGAAGGTCTGGCCCCCCTGGGGGCTGAGGGGCGGGGCCAAACAGGGGAAATATATCAAATTCTTTAAAATCCTTCTTCTTCTGTAGGTATGAAAGGATTTGTTCCATATTTGGTCAGAAGCATCTTAGGTGAAGGTGAACCAATTTTGTATAAGTCGTGGGTGTGGCCCCCCAGGGGCCTGAGGGGTGGGGCCCAATAGGGGAAACATAGCAAATTCTTTAAAATCCTTCTTCTTCTGTAGGAATGAAAGGATTTGTTCCATATTTGGTCAGAAGCATCTTAGGTGAAGGGGAACCAATTTTGTATAAGTCGTGGGTGTGGCCCCCCAGGGGCCTGAGGGGTGGGGCCCAATAGGGGAAACATAGCAAATTCTTTAAAATCCTTTTTCTTCTTTAGGACTGAAAGGATTTGTTCCATATTTGGTCTGAAGCAACCTTGGGTGAAGGGGAACCAATTTTGTATAAACCGTGGGTGTGGCCCCCCAGGGGCTTGAGGGGAAATATAGCAAATTATTCTTTAAAATTCTTCATCTGTAGGAATGAAAGGATTTGGTCCATATTTGGTGTGGAGCATCCTTGGGTAAAGGAGAACCAATTTTGTATAAACGGTGGGTGTGGCCCCCCTGGGACCTGAGGGGTGGGGCCCAATAGGGGAAATATAGGTAAAACCTTTATAATCCTTCTTCTACCATAGGGATTAAGGGATATTATCCTAATTTAGCCTGGAGCATCCTTAGGCAAAAGGGACTCAATTTTGTATAAACGGTGTGTCTGACCCCTCTGGAGGCAGAGAGGCGGGGCCCATTAGGGGAAATAGAGGTAAAACCTTTAAAATCCTTCTTCTACCATAGAGATTAAGGGATTTTATCCTAATTTAGTCTGGAGCATCAATGGGCCAAGGGGACTCAATTTTGTATAAGCATGCAGTGGGTGTGGTCTCCCAAGGGGCAGAAGGGCGGGGGCCAATAGGAGAAATAGAGGTAAAACCTTTAAAATCCTTCTTCGACCATCGGGATTATGGGATTTCATCCTTATTTAGTCTGGAGCATCCTTGGGTCAAGGGGACNATGTGATTATCTCCCTTTATTTGTAATATAATATGTTATTGTTATTTTCCATACGTTTGTCGCAATAATTAGTTCTCAAGAGCTAATGTTCCTTGTTTACCTGTATGCGATGTTAAATAAAGTTTCTTGTGTCTTGTTTCTTGTTCTTGTATATAAGAATGGACACAAACAATAACATTGTTTCCAAACTTGATACTGCCTGTTTGCAGATGAGGGACTTTTGATTATCACCTACTTTATCTCTTCTCCTACAGTTATACACAGTATCTGTGAGGAGTTCGACCTTGACTTCCGAGCAATGTTTGCCTGTGTTGGTATATGGAACAGCTTCTTCCTCTTCCTGTATGCTGCATTTGATCTCAGTGTCCTCATGCAGTGGTCAACAAGGTAAGAATTGGAGTCTTAAATTCATTCAGATGCAGTTTCAATCATGCTTGCAATTAATCAGACTTTGAACTTGTAACAAGAATTCTGTAGATTAAGCCTTATTGACAACTTTCAACCTTGGAAAGCTCCTGAATTCTGTTACCTTGGAAACCTGCTGAATGTTACTTCCTGTACGTGTTACCTTAGAAAACTTCTGATTGTTACTACCTGTACATGTTACCTTGGAAACCTGCTGAATGTTACTTCCTGTACAAGTTACCTTGGAAACCTGCTGAATGTTACTTCCTGTACATGTTACTATTGGAACTTTTTTTCTGTATGCATGTTGAAGAAAACTGCTGAATTGCAATAAATTCTAGTCTTTTGAGGAAATCCTCTATTTATTATTGTAAATGTTGCGTGATTTAAATATGTTTATGTGATGCAAGTCGTCTAAGAAAATATTCAATCTGTTATTAAATGTTTCTTGTATGACTGACTTTTCTGTGTGTTACAGGTTGTCTGAGGAAATATGAATGACTTTTCTTTTTTGTTTCAGATCCTCTGAGGAAATCTTTGCTCTATTTATCGCTATAGCTTTCTGTGTAGATGCCTTTAAAAATACAGCAAAAAGTAAGTGGGCTAGTGATGTTCAGGACTAGCCTGTACAATCTCTTATCACAGCAACATCACCGGACATACAGTTACAAACCCATTGATTACATTGATGTAGATTAATAAATCAGAGTTACATGTTACTGACAGTTAGATATAATGCTTAATTCCAAACAATTTATACCCTGATCATGTACAGAGATCAGGTATGGCAAGCATGTCTGTTATACATTTCACAAGCCACTTGAGCTAGTGTGAACCATATTTAACATTCAAGTACGAAATTTGATACTATATTTTACTATTGAAAACACTTGATATACCTCAAATTCATAGATTAAATATGAAATATAATTATCAAATTGTTGTCAAAATTAATAAAAATTTGAACAAATTTAAAAAATCATTCTGTTATTGTCCTAAAATTCTCAAGTAGATTGCAAACAAACAATCATATTCAGAGTTAATGCACGTTTTTTGACGTTTTTGGCAATCTACTTCATGTTTAGTTAATGATGAATTTTAAAGCAGGCATAAGGTTTTGGTTGTAAATCGTTATTAATGACGATTATGATAATAAAAGACATATTTATTTGGATAAATACATATTAAACCAATTATGATTTTTCACTTTGTTCGCAAAATATCACAGTAAAAATCAATGTTACAGAATATATCAGCGTTGTGTTTCACCGTTTCAGATTTTGGGGATCATTACAACATTCCAAATTGCAACTCTGCGGGTGCGTCAGCCTCTGGGTTGGCCGCCGTCAGTAATGCGACAGGCAATATGTCTGCCAACATATCGGATACGATAGTGGGAGCCACTAGGGACTGTGAGCATGATATCAGCCTTCTCTACCTACTCCTACTGCTGGGCACTCTCTGGCTCGGAGTGATGCTCTACAACTTTACCAAGACGTATGTACATTGTCAGGAAATTCATCAAAAACAAAAGATGGAAATCACATGTACAAGTAAAAGATGAATATTTACCCTTCTCATATTGCACCCAAATGATCAGAATCTTCTTGTTATAGAGATAGGCTAGCTATGACTACAACCTGAAAGGTTTTTTATTTTTATTTTTTTATTTTTTTTTAATTAGTTATGTCTAAATATATCAGCCAATCACACAAGATGTTACATTTATGCCCTTCATGACAAAAAAAATTATGATCACAAAAATGATTTGAAATAATGGAACAACAACAGTAATATTTTCCTTTGAATGCAGCAATTGGAATTTCAAGGAAGTTTTTGAATGATAAAGCAGGTAGATCACCCAAACCCAAGGTTCTGGATATTACAGACCAAATATAACAGTGACACCCTTTATACAAATCGTGACTTTGCGATATACACTATCAAAATGTTTTGTGATGTCATACAGAAAAAAAACTATAAAGTGCAGCTTCATTGAACTCTGGAACCCCAGGAAAGAATAAGGATAAATAATGGTGATTGGTTAGGGTCAGGGTTAGGGTTACTCATTGAAGAACCTTATTGTCATTTAAGCTGAAGTTTTGGAACATTTTTGCCTATGTATACATATAGTGTGTCTGTACAGTGATCAAGTATTGTATAACTTTACAGGCCTTACCTGAATGCAGGCAAGAGAGAACTGTTAGCTGACTACGCCCTGCCAGTGTCGGTGGTCATCATGAGCCTTATTGGTGCTTTGGCTTTTAAGGATGTTGACCGTGAGTTTCTGATTAACTTTTCCTAACTATTGTTAATCTATCTACTTATATTTTTGTTTGGAAAAAGAATGTGTAAGTATGTATTGAGAAGGCTAAAGCCTTTTACATACAGTTTATTGATAGGAAACATCACCATTTAGGAATGTCAAAGAGCATGCAAACATAAGGAGAAGATCGACGGTTTTCTGCTTGTTCTATACAAATCATTCCATAAATATATAGCTTCCCTGGCAGGATTCTTTTTTAAAAAAATGCTGAGCCCAGAAATTAATTGTTCTCTACTCATTCTCGACGTTAGATTAAGATTTTCCAGGTTTTTGAACAGAGAACAGTTTCACATTGACAGAAGAGTATAGTAGCATCAAGATATTAGATAAAAGGCAAAGTTTGTGATGAATGACAGATGATCATATCATGATATGTTTCAGTTGGTAAGAGTTTTGATGGAGTAGGCCACGGGTTCTCCATCTTCAGTCTTGTCCCCTTCCACAAACTGTCGTGGGGGGCTGTGCTGGGTGGCATGGGACTCGGCTTCTGTCTCTCACTCCTCTTCTTCATGGACCAGAATATTTCCGCGGCACTGGTCAATTCTCCCCAGAACAAGTGAGTATATAGTGGCAAAAACTGTGCTGTTCATAAATTAATCATATCTGATTTTTTTTATCTTCCAAAGATAGGAATAACTTACAGTTTTTAGAGAGATTTCTAATATTATTACTGTTATAACAATTCCAGTATGTGTTATATTATTTAATTGGTATTGTGTTCTCTTCAAACCTTGGGCGTGGTACTAATATAGTATTACCTAATGTGTTTATCATACAGGATGAAGAAGGGCACCTCCTACCACTGGGACCTAGTCGTTGTCGCTATCATTAATTTGCTTCACAGCCTGGTGGCGTTTCCCTGGGTGCATGCTGCACTCCCACACTCCCCTTTACATGTCCGTGCCCTGGCTGACGTAGAGGAACGGGTCGACCAGGGCCATATATACCAGATGTAAGTACATAGGCTCTTAGATTTGTCTGGGTGTTATTTACAGGATTTCTCTAATTTAAAAATCAAGTGACAGAAACAAGTTTATTTGTATCAAACTTCATTAAAGGATTAAGATATGACTTGATCATAGATATGACTTGATCATGCATATCCAGTAATTATCAGTTTCGTAATAAGGGATTTCTGTGGTGTTATATGTTTTTTCTAGAGTGATTCTTTTGTGAAATATGAAAACTATTTAATACAGAAAACACACTTCACAACCTTTATACAGTTGTAACTGAAGTTATTAATACATATATATATATATATGACCAGAAACTGTTTTTACCAACTGCAATAAAATAACTGTTTCATTGTAATACCTGAGTTTCCTCCCTTTGTAGAATAGTGAAGGTGCGTGAGACGAGGCTGACGGCCATTTTGTCCCATATCCTCATCGGTCTGTCTCTGCTTTTCATGGATGCCCTGTCCTTCATCCCCACCCCAGTCCTGTATGGCCTCTTCCTCTATGTGGGGGTTACCTCCCTTGATGGAAACCAGATGTTTGAGAGGATTATGCTGCTATTCACAGAACAAGTAATTAATTATTCATAATCTACTCACTGATACCATAACAAGCGATTATTTACCTTCAACTCAAAGTACACACAACTAATATGTTTAATAGAAAGTTTTCTCTTCAAAGAATGAATGCTCATTTATTTAGAATTCAGAGATTGCATGAATTGACCATCTCCTTTCTATAATTGATCACAGAATAAGTAATTTCTTTTAATTCAAAGAAAAAAAGTTGTTTTGGTATATGTAATAGCTTCAGCTACAATTTCACTAATGTTCCTTAACAAAGTTTTGGATTTGAAAGTTCTGCTGAAGATGTTTTCTTAACTCGATCCATGCATTTACGTTTTCCAGCGGGAAAAGTTTAATTGTATTAAATGTATTGAAACTGGGGCCTGATACTTGTATACTTGTCATGAATATCTCTTAGATAACTTACCAAGTACTCAATTGATTTTGCTAGAATAAGTGTTATAATTAATACATAATATATCTTGGTACATGAAATCTGGTACACAAAAATAAATACTTGAGATATACATGTATACATTGGAATTTGTAAATAATCCCTACTTGTTTTTGGTTTCAGTCTGCTTATCCCCCAAACCATTACATCCGCCGTGTGCCACAGAGGAAGATGCACTCATTCACCCTGCTACAGCTTCTTCAGCTCGTTGTCCTCTGTGGATTTGGCTTTGCGCCCTATCCCTACCTCAAGATGTTTTTCCCTGTCCTCATTTTCCTCCTCATTCCTCTAAGGTAAGTCCAGCTCTTTACCAGCAGTAAGTTGATGTAGTTTACAAAAACTCTTCATCTTTGCTTTGTTTTACTGTGATGAATAATATAACTCTTTCATGCCCATGGGTGTAGTAGGATAGGGAAATTCCACCCAAGAGGTTTTCAAATTTAGTGAAACCCGAGGCTCTGCCGAGGGTTTTGCCAAATTTGAAAATCCTGGGGGTGGAATTTCCTTATACTACACTCTTGGGCATGAAAAAGTATTTTTCTCTCTTTCAAACCACCTCAGCGCAGAAGCTAAGAAAACTTGAGAAACCATGCTTAGAAACCATGCTTAGAAACCATGAAAAATGCATTTGGACTGGCCACCATTTTGAAAATATCATTTTTTTCCTTGAGCTTTTTAGACAAAAAAGAATCTGTCAGCCACATTTGGCATACAACATATTTGTATTAAGCAGAAAAATTAATCACATGCCTTTTTCGCATTTCGGCTTCGAGATTTCCCATTTGGTGAAGTCAAGTCATTGTTGAGGCATTGTGATGTCGCGTCACGTGAAATTGGGTGTAAAAGAAAATGTGTATGGCTTTTATAATACATCATACAAGTACAAAAACTGGTATGACCTGTGGTGGTCAAACAGAATTATTGTTTTTAATCTACATGTCTATGTCTTTTCTTGCTTTTCTGGTGAATTTGAACAATTTCAGAATGTGTTTCCTATATTTTTGCAAGTCAAAAGTTATGAGGGTGTTTCATTGCATATTAAGTTATTCTTTTTGAAATAAATACTACGTCTTAAGAAGAGGATAGGAATCATCTGTAATTAACGATAAGGCTTGTTTAATACCCAGTCTTACCAATAAGGAAGGGGGCATCAATACCACAGTTCTATGCAGCCATTACACTAGTGTCTGTACTACCTAGCTACATATGTTGTATTTGTATACTACTACTGCCCATGAGGGCTGCTTGATCATTTTACAACTTTTGTATTTTGCATGATGACTTTTTTTTTAAGTTTAAAATATGGTCATAAACATTGGTCACCTCATTGTATTGAAGTTTAAAAATGTATATGATAATTTTGAGATTTTTTTCTGATTTTATTTCAGACACAAAGTTATTCCTCACGTAATAGAACATAAATACCTGAAGGCTATGGACAGTCACTAAACCAGTCTGAAGGAGTGAACAGCAACTTACGCGGAAAGGAAGTTACTACACATATCTGTGGCCTGAACAAATTTATACTTGAATGTGGCATTAATATGGCTTGAGGATTGAGTATCCTTTCTACCTTGTACTTAAGAGTGAGCGGGTTGGACAGGTGTTTGTCAGATGTGTTCAGTGGACAAGATGACTTTGTGTATTAGATGTGTTCGGTAGACAAGAGGACATCATCAGCATTGATTTAACAACTTACATTGATACAAGCTGAATGCTGACACAGTCAAACCTGATTGTATTAAGGATATTTTAGTCACAGGAAGTCAATTATGTTCTTTGTGGTTTTAATGACAAATTGTGTATATTTGTGTATATATTTGTTTTATGTATATAAATCCTTTGTTGGTATATATTTATACATGTGCAGATGTTGGTTGCTGTGTATATTTTTAGGATCTACTGGTAGTACTAGATGATCTTGTTGTATTTTGAGATATTTTAAAGTCATAATTTTTACATTGTTACAAAATAAGCCAAGTCTATGATAAGGTGCTACATTGTGTTTATAAGGACAGTTTTATTCTAGTTTCTATACAGATAACAGTTCACCATGTGTTGTCTATCAAGACACATATAAAGTTACTAGACAATACTTTATATACAGAAGGGTTAACGAAAGAATTTTAAATTGTACAGACTCATTTTTACACTGATATTGTCTTGTTGAAGTTTACTTGATAATATTAATAATAATATACAACATTTGATATAGCGCCCTATCTAGCTAACATAAGCCATTCTAAAGCACCTTACAGTACATAGATATACAATTAATACAATTAGGATATACAATTTTTGAGGAATTTGCAGGAGCTGCCTTATCAGGCGCTAACTACTAGTCCTATGCCACCTGGCTAATATCTCCCTATGTGTTTGTAGTGGGACCGTGCTTCCAACAGCATCTTTTATAGTACCACCTCACTTGAATGCTACATCACAGATACTGCAACATCCACCCCAGACCATTTTATACTGCACATGGGTTGTTGCTGAGTGAGAGCATTTCCTCTGCTGCACAAAACTATTACCAATTACAAAGTGTTATTAGGCTCCTGAATAAAAAAAAAAATAGTCCACAGGAAACTGGCGCCAGATACATGTACAACAAATGTTACCATAAAACCTCCCAAGAGTTTTATTGCCTGAGGGAAATTGTTACCAGCTACAGTGCTGGATACCAAAATTTGATGCTGTTTTTTTTCCTAGTCAGATATAACTGATACATGTATATGTCTGTTCCAGATTCCCAGATAATGGTTTAGATTGAGATATTTATGTCAGTTGCAGTATTAGAGAGTTTTGGGCATATTTCACTGAGTGTGAGAAAAATACACATGGCAGTGTATAAACAATGTAGCCAAAATATATACTGATGAGTGTTCGTCTAAAATGTGTATCACTTATAATGATCAAACCATCATTTTTTAAGACCAGAATTTTTAAACAGTTTAACAAGAATTTTAAGGGGTAATATGTATACCATTTCTGACAAACAAATTGTTATGTAAGTGATTGAATGTTTGGGTATCATCTTGTCAACAATAACAGATTTAAAGGGGCATTAGAGTGACTTCTCCTACAAGTGCTCTCCACTCTCGGGAAACATCCTGGACTTCTACTAAAACTTTTAACTTCTAACATGTTTCTTTGCTTCCTTATAAATCACACCATGCATTGGTTATTGTCATCAACTCGTAGTCTGGCTAATTGTGTGTATATCATATATGTATAGAACAAAATTAAATAGTGTCCTTGTGATTGGTACCATGAAAGTCCACAGACTATAGAAGACCAAGTTGCTAGTGCTTTTTATCCATTTAAGGGCTCATCAAGCTGCTGATTTACGTTGCCTTTGTACCCATAAAAGGGCAAAAGTGCAGGTAACATTGTTCTAGTGTGTTTATTTATATACATATATAAACATCCTACATGTGCCAACAATGATTTGTATGTTATATAAAAAAAACACAAGTTTAAGGGAGGACTTCCTTGTTATGTAGCTGTAGTCTAACACAAGTCACAACGACTCTCAATGACACATTGAATTATCATATCTAATGTAGATACTGTTGAGTGAGACATGCACTCGGGGATTTAGGTGATGCTATTGAGTTTAATGTTTTATAGATGAGTTCGGCATAAAGTTGACCTTTTAGGCAATTTTTGGCATCCTGAATCAAACATGACTTTCTTTCTGAGGAAAACTGTTTGCCTATATGAATCAGACATACATTTGACTAGCTTGCTTACCAGTACTTATTGTCTTGGTGAATAAAAAAAATGAAAAGCTTTCTGAGCAATACTTACTGTTTTGATGAATCAAACATAAATTTGACTAAAATGTAGCTTTCTGAGCAATACTCATTGTTTTGATGGTGACTAGCTTCCTAAGCAATACTCATTGTCTTGATGGTGACTAGCTTTGTGAGCAATACTCATTGTCTTGATGGTGACTAGCTTTCTAAGCAAGACTCATTGTCTTGATGGTGACTAGCTTTCTGAGCAATACTCATTGTCTTGATGGTGACTATAGCTTTCTAAGCGATACTTATTGTCTTGATGGTGACTAGCTTTCTAAGAAATACTCATTGTCTTGATGGTGACTAGCTTTGTGAGCAATCCTCATTGTCTTGATGGTGACTAGCTTTCTGAGCAATACTCATTGTCTTGATGGTGACTAGCGTTCTAAGCAATACTAATTGTCTTGATGGTGACTAGCTTTCTAAGAAATACTCATTGTCTTGATGGTGACTAGCTTTATAAGAAATACTCATTGTCTTGATGGTGACTAGCTTTGTGAGCAATACTCATTGTCTTGATGGTGACTAGCGTTCTAAGCAATACTAATTGTCTTGATGGTGACTAGCTTTCTAAGCTATTCTCATTGTCTTGATGGTGACTAGCTTTCTAAGCTATTCTCATTGTCTTGATGGTGACTAGCTTTCTGAGCAATACTCATTGTCTTGATGGTGACTATAGCTTTCTAAGCGATACTTATTGTCTTGATGGTGACTAGCTTTCTAAGCGACAGTCAGTGTCTTGATGGTGACTAGCTTTCTAAGCGACAGTCAGTGTCTTGATGGTGACTAGCTTTCTAAGCGATATTCATTGTCTTGATGGTGACTAGCTTTCTAAGCAATACTCATTGTCTTGATGGTGACTAGCTTTCTAAGAAATACTCATTGTCTTGATGGTGACTAGCTTTTGAGCAAAGCTGTTTATTGATATATTGTTGATTAATTTTTATGTTTTCTAAGGAATACTGTATAGCAATATAGTGATGTTGATTAAACTAAGAATTATTATTTAGTGAGAATTAGAAACTATATACAAAGACACTGGAGAATGCTGAACTCACAGAACGTAAAATATTGTATCTCCCATTTCCTTTAGTAATAATGCAGATACTTAAAGGGGTAGGGGTTGCTGAAAGCACGGACTGTACAGTTTTTAATGGATTTACTATGGACATAGTCACATTTGATATCTCATTCCTAATATTGTAAATGTGTTATACTTTCTTATCAAGAATGCTTTCCAAGAGAAATATTGTTTTATTTTACAATTTAAATTTTGACTAAGGTCTGAGATTATTTTATGTTTCTTGCTATGTAGATTATTATTTGTTGTAGTTGCTTGTTTTATGTAAAGTTTTATTGTTTTGTTTTTGTATTGCATCTGCAAAATTTGTTTTTATTTCTAAGATTTATACCTTTGCATTGATGCATGTTCCAATCTCAAATATACGTACGATTTTGTTATATGTGTGATAATAAGTCGTGACATGCTCAGCTATGTTTGGTAGGGAAAAAATTAAAAACATTTAATTAACTAGCAACAGTTTTAATCAAACAACTTCTTTATAATGTTATGGTTTAGTTAGGGAGGGGAATTTTACATAGAGAATAATACATGCCTTTTTCCATATCACACCCAGTATCAACCCGAGACTGCAATATCAGGCCGAGGGTTGATACTGGGTGTGATATGGAAAAGGGCGTGTTTTATTCTGTTTATCACATACTTACTAATAAAAACTGCTATCTTATGATTTATTTTTATTTTTGAAATATTGAAAAACATTTTTTTCCCAAAAGGGGGGTGATATGGGTTTTGCGGGCTGATACAGGTTTTGGGGTGTGATACGGCGGGGGCTGATACGGAGTTTGGGGTGTGAGAGGGCAAGGGCTGATATGGGTTAGAGCAATTGTGTCGTATGGCATATACAAAAAACCTGTATTGATTAGTAAGTATGTAATAAAATCAAATATATCGACAATCTACAACATTAAAATGGATACTGCTACCAATTATGTTTATGTGATTGAATATTTTCTTACATTGCTGCATGCAAACCGTTTCTTCTATAAAAGATTATAAAGTATAAGGGTTTGCGAATATTCCACATGTTTTACTACTGAGTGTCGCCCATGTCCCTGTGTCCTGAGTGCTGCCCAGGTCCCTGTTTCCTGAGTGCCGCCCAGGTCCCTGTGTCCTGAGTGCCGCCCAGGTTACCTGTGTCCTGAGTGCCGCCCATGTCCCTGTGTCCTGAGTGCCGCCCAGGTCCCTGTGTCCTGAGTGATGCCCAGGTCCCTGTGTCCTGAGTGATGCCCAGGTCCCTTAGTCCTTAGTGCTGCCCAGTCCCTGTGTTCTGAGTGCCGCCCAGGTCCCTGTGTCCTGATTGATGCCCAGGGTTCTGTGTCCTGAGTGCCGCCCATGTCCCTGTATCCTGAGTGATGCCCAGGTCCCTGTGTCCTGAGTGCTGCCCAGGTCCCTGTGTCCTGAGTGCCGCCCAGGTCCCTGTGTTCTAGTCTCAGGTTGATGCTTGTCATACTGCCCAATAAAATTGTAGTTATGTGATAAATAACGTGCATCGTTTCGGAGGCCAAATGCGTTACTCATGGAACTCATCCACTGTGCTAAACACTGCTGAACACCATTTATAGTCAGTAGTGCTAAAAGGTTGAACAGTGATATCATCTTTAACTTTAATGTTACATTATGTTGATTAGTAGGTAGCATTAAAGTTCAAGTTGATATCACTGTTCAACCTATTTGCACTACTGACTATAATTTGTGTTACTTCAATAATATAATTTAAAACCCATTGCTATCAATTTATATTCTGAAATATGGGTATTGAAAGCATAGCCATTGTGTTTAAATATTGTTTATGTACAAAAACAAGTGTTTTATCTGCATATTACTGGTAATTTTCAATGGCAACATCTCCAATAGTTGAGTCTGATGGTTCTGTGTAATTCACACACAGACGACTGATCGACTAACATTGAGTACCAGTACTAGAATGTTATTTGCTGACGACTGATCGACTAACATTGAGTACAAGTATGTTATTTGCTGACGACTGATCGACTAACACTGAGTACAAGTATGTTATTTGCTGACGACTGATCGACTAACATTGAGTACCAGCAGGTTATTTGCTGACGACTGATCACCTAACATTGAGTACCAGTAGGTTATTTGCTGACGACTGATCGACTAACATTGAGTACCAGCAGGTTATTTGCTGACGACTGATCGACTAACATTGAGTACCAGTATGTTATTTGCTGACGACTGATCGACTAACATTGAGTACAAGTATGTTATTTGCTGACGACTGATCGACTAACATTGAGTCCCAGTAGGTTATTTGCTGACGACTGATCGACTAACATTGAGGACCAGCAGGTTATTTGCTGACGACTGATCGACTAACATTAAGTACCAGTAGGTTATTTGCTGA